TGGTTAGGCCACGTTTGGAGTATTGGGGTTTAATTCTGGTCTCCCTGATATTGGAAGAATGTTGTGAAACTTGAAAGGGTTCAAAAAAGATTCAGAAGGGTGTTGCCAGAGGTGGAGGATTTGAGCTATAGGGAGAGCCTGAATAGGCTGGGGCTTTTTTTCCCTGGAACGTCGGAGACTGCAGGGTAACCTTACACGGGTTTATAAAGTCATGAACGGCACGGATAGGGTGAATAGCCAAGGTCTTTGTCCCAGGGTGGGGCAGGCCTAAATAGAGGGGATAGGTTTAAGGTGAAAGGGGAAAGATTTAAGAGGGACCCATGGGGAAACTTTTTCACACAGAGGGCGGTGCATGTATGGAGTGAGCTGCCTGAAGAAGTGGTGGAGGCTGGTACAATTACAACACTTACAAGACATCTGGATGGATATATGAAAGGGAAGAGTTTAGAGGGATATAGACCAAATGCTGGCAAATAGGACTAGATTAATTTATGATTTCTCATCGGCATGGACGAGTTGGACTGAACAGTCTGTTTCCATGCTGTATATCTCTATGATAGGCTGGATAGTTTGGGACTTTTTTCCCTGGAGCATAGGAGTCTGAGGTTTATAAAATCACGAGGGGCATAGATAAGGTGAATAGTCAAGGTCTCTTCCCCAGGGGTAGCAAAGTCCAAATCTAAAGGGGACGGATTTAAGGTGAGAGGGGAAAAGATTTAAAAGGAAGCCGAGGGTGAACATTTTCACTTAGAGGGTGGAGTGTATATGGAACTAGCTGCCAGAAGAAGTGGTGGAGAAGGGTACAATTACAACATTTAAAAGACATTTGGACAGGTACCTGATTAGGAAAGGTTTAGAGGGATATTGGCCAAACACTAGGCAAATGGGACTAATTCAGTTTAGGAAACCTGGTTAGCATGGACGAGTTGGGCTGAAAGGCCAGTTTCCATGCTGTATGACTCTAGGTAGTGTTGAGAAAGCAGGGAGGCTGCACAAGGTCTTGCACAGACAAGGAGAGCAAGCAAACAAATGGCAGATGGAATACAAATGTGGTAAAGTGTGAGGTTTTGCACTTTGGTAGAAAGAATAGAGGCGTCGACTATTTTCTAAATGGAGACTTGGGGCTTGGGAGTTCAGGATTCTCTTAAGGTTAACATGAAGGTTCAGTCGGCAGTTAGGAAAGCAAATGCAATGTTAGCATTCATTTCCAGAGGGCTAGAATACAAGAGCAGATATGTACTGCTGAGGCTGTATAAGGCTCTGGTCAGACTGCATTTGGAATAGAGAGAGCAGTTTTGGGAAGGAAGTGCTGGCATTGGAGGGAGTCCAGAGGAGGGTTACAAAAATGATTAAGGGCGTGAAGGAAACAAAACAGAGATTGCTGGAAAAACTCAGCAGGTCTGACAGCATCTGTGAAGGAAAAAACAGAGTTAACGTTTCAGGTCAGGAGACCCTGCCTCAGAACAGTCGCTGGACCCGAAACATTAACTCTGTTTTTTCCTTCACAGAGGCTGCCAGACCTGCTAAGCTTTTCTAGCAATCTCTGTTTTGTTTCCTGATTTACAGCATCCACAGTTCTTTCTTTTTTTATTTAAGGGGATGAAGGACTTGTTGTATGAGGAGTGGTTGAGGAATCTGGGTCTGTACACAATAGAATTTAGAAGGATGAAGGGAGGATCTGATTAAAACTAACAGAATAATGAGAGCCCTCGATAGAGTGGATGTGGAGAAGATGTTTCCAATAGTAGGAGACACTAGAACCTGAGGGCACAGCCTCAGGGTGAAGGGACAACACTTTAGAACTGAGATGAGGAGGAATTTCTTCAGCCAGAGGATAGTTAATCTGTGCAACTCATTGCTGCAGAGGGCTGTGGAAGTCAAGTCATTGAGTGTATATAAGACAGATAGATAGGTTCTTGATTAGTAAGGGGATCAAGGGTTATTGGGAGAAGGCAGGAGAATGGGTTTGAGAACAGCCATGCTTGAATGGTGGAGCAAACTCAATGGGCCGAATAGCCTAATTTGCCTTCTATGTCTTTTGGTCCCATGACGTTGAAATTGGCCTTCCCCCAGTTTAGACCCTTCACTTCTGCACTATCCTTATCCCTTTCCATAATGTCTTTGAAACATAGTTATGGTCACTACGCCCAGAATGCTCACCCACTAAAACTTCAACCACTTGACCAGCTTCATTACCTGGTACAACTATCTATGTACTAGTTCACTAAGGTTTCCTGGACACATTTTTAAAAATTCTACCCTGTTTAATCTTTTCACACCAAAGGCAATCCCAACTAATGTTAGCAAAGTTGAAATTCCCTACTACATGAGTCACCATAGTCCTACTAGACCATAGGGCTGCTCTCTCATTACAGAGAGATGACTGATGGTGATTTAATGTCAGGGCTACCACACCTCAGGCAAGGGAAGAGATTTAACCTTATTTCTCTCACACCTTTCTGTGATTTACCTACATGTCCGTTCCTCTATGTCCCTCTGACTTTTGGGAGGCCGGTACTGTAATCCCAGCAGTTAGCTGCTCTTTTTTGTTTCTAAGCTCTACCCAGCTGGCCTCATTTGAAGAGTCTTTTAACACATCCACCCTCACTGCTGCAATTACGGTTTTGCAATGCCTCCACCTCTCTCATATCCCCGCTGCCCCCGCCCCCATGCCTGAAACTTCTGTACCCTTCCAGTCCAGTCCTGTCCTTCCTTCAACCATGTTTCAGTGATTGCAACAATATTGTATTCCCACATGCTCATCAACACTGAGTTTATCTGCCTACCAGTCAGGCTCCTTCTATTAAAATAGATACAATTTGGCTTTCCGGTCCTCCCATGTGCCTTGTCCTGCCCATGTACACCCTGCCTGCTGAACTGTCCTAACCTTCCTTTTATATCTGACTGGACCTTGCTACTCTGTGCCCCAATCCCCAGCCAAATCATTGCATCCTGTTCAGCTTGTACAGGTCCCACTGACCCAGTAACTGTCCCAATGATCCAACAATCCTAAAGCCCTCCCTCCTACACAATCCCTTTAGTCACATGTTCATCTTCCTATTCCTATACTCAGTTGCGAGAGACACTGGAAATAATTCAGATTTAAAAAATTTAGCAGTCCTTCTCTTTAATCAACTAACTCTGAAATTCCTGCTACAGGACCTAATCTGTTTTTTTTATTCCCCATGTTGTTGGTCCTGACATGTACCACGTCTGCTGGCTGTTTACTCTCCCAGTTCAGAATGCCCTGCAGCTGTTCTGAGACGTCCCTGACCCTGGCACCAAGAGACAACACACCATTCCCAAGTATCGTTTGCTGCTGCAGAACTGCCTGCCAGTTCCCCTTAAAATTGTGTCCCCTATCCCTAGACCTCTCCCAATCTTTCCCCTGCCCTCAGTCAACACAGTGTGGAGCTGGAGGAGCACGGCAGGTCAGGCAGCATCAGGGGAGCCGGACAGTCAACGTTTCGGATCGGGATCCTTCTTCAGAACTTTTCCCTCCCCTGCTTGGCTTGTTGCTGCTTTCCCAGAGAGGCCATCCACCTCCCTGCTCCCTCCCCAAACATAGGCTGTTTGATAGGGGGTTGGCCACAGAGTACTCCTGCACCTCCTGCCCATGTTTACTCATCTTCCTGGTGGTCACCCAACACTTCTCTGTCTGTGGATCCCTTGCTGTGGTGTGACCAGCTCGCAAAATGTACTATCCACAACATTCTCAGCCTCATAGATGCTCCATCCACATCTCCAGGTGCTCCATGCGGCAGTTCAACACACTTCCCGCATATGCGATCACTAGGGAGACAAAGTGTTGCTGATCTCTCATATTGCAGGAGGACCATTCCAAGGAGCCAAGATCTCCTGCCATTGCTGGAAGCCAGGTAATAATTCTTTACACGTCTATGTAGAATCATGCCTTTTAATGTATTTTCCCAATCCAGCTCAGCCAATCTGTCTCTCCCACTTTCATAATTTCCCAGATTCACATTTAGCACTTGTTTCAGACTGAACTAGCTGACTTTCAAACATAATGTAAAATGCTATCATACCATAGGCACTCATTCCTAAAGGTTCTTTACAAGATTGTTAATTAGTGCCTTTTCACAATTATAGCCTGTCTTCTAGTCGGCTTCTCAACGTAGTGCTCTGGAAAACCATTCCTCACACACTCCAGAATTTAATCCTCCACAGCGTTAGTGCTCAGCTGGTTTACCCAGTCCATATGCAGTCTGAAGTCACCCATCAGAACTGTGTTTCCGATGCTATAAGCTTCTCTCCTCACCAACCTTCCCTCTAAGCTGCACACTCCAAGGTTCTGTGCACAGCGACTGGCACTG